CCTGAAATATTAGGTATAGCCATTTACAAAAAGACTCCTTATTTAAAAGACGTTCTTTGCTTGTCTAAAAACTTTTGTATTTAGAATGTCTTCTTTATTACAAGTCACCCTGGAATATGATGTCAGGATGGCAGTAATTATGTATTTTATTATCATTATCAGAAGGTGAGTCTTAAAGTAATACTGCTTGAAAAAAATATATTCAGTTAGAATATTCAGAATACATCTTCTATATTCAGTTAAAATATTCAGAATATATTTTCTATAAATCACAGTTTTAATTTGTCATTAATATGTGAAAATGATATAAACCATTTTTAATCAGAGTAGAAACATGCTTCATCTTCAGAGACAAAATAGATGCAGAAGTATGTGAAAGAAAAAAATGAAGAGGGAAAAGCCTACAACAGAGAGTCAGTGATTTAAAACAAAAATATTTGATTTTTTAAGATCAGAGGTAAACCAGAAGTTTAGTTACTTTACAATTAGTGCCTAGAGACTAAATTGCAGTTGTTACCATTTCCTTTTTGTCAATCAGGTTCTACCAGTTTTAACAGAGCTGCCGACACTTTGAATACCTCTAGTATCCACCGAGACCCCCAGGGAGACCCTAGTGACGAGTGGAATGCTATGGCAAAGACTTTTTATGATTCTTCTTTTCCCACAGAACATGTAAGTCAATTAAAAATATTGCGAACCAGACCTCAGTGAGCTAATTCCACAGATATTTGTACAACTGTATGCATCTGGATACTTTAAGACTGAGTCAATCTCCAAAATAATATCAAAAGGGCAACAAGGCACCATTTTTCACAATTAAGGTTGATAGAAAGCAGCAGGAAAAAGTCACAGCATATGAATCAAACAGATGCTAACCAGTCTGTTTGGGAGGGGAGGAAGAGGGTAGTTCATTGTGTACCCTAATAAAAATCATCACCTACAGTAAAAGTAGGAGTTTAAAAAAAAAAAAAGAAAGAAAAAAGTTTTATGTAAAAGTATAAAAATATTGTTTCCTTTATTAGGAACATGTTATTTAAAAGAATCTGTGACAAACTAAAAATTCAGCATATCTATGGATTACAGCCTATCCACTTATTCTACGCTGCACTTATGTGATGCCATATTTAGTTATCTTACTATTTAGTAGGATGACATTACACAAACCTGTAAAAGCAGAGAATTAAAAAGAAACCTATTTTTTCCCTCTGTAAGACAACTTCCTTCAGGATGGCACTAGCTTATACTGCATTTTTAGGTCTTTTAGACTGTGGAGCTTGAACAGCTGTAGCTGCTGTATTAGGACTTCACCTAATACTAATCATATTATTCAAAAGCGATAAATTAATTTACAACTGCAGTTGACCTTCCTTTTTAGAAGGGGTTCTAGAGTTACTTCTCAGGTAGCTATCGCTGTCTTCTTTGGAGGAGTTTGATGTCAGGTGTATAGTGTTTTCAAGTGACAAAATTGGCTGACTTCAGCGGACTTAATCAGCTCGCAATACCATTAGCGTTCACATTCTCTGAAATTCAGAAGTAAAGACTGATGTTTTAAATTACTCAAACTTTCCTAACCTGACTCTACTTGGGAATGACAGTGAGGTGGATTTATCACCAAACAGTGGTGGTATTTACCGTGTCTCTCTTGCGTTTTCTTATTGAGGTGGAGCCAGGAATTGGTTAGAGCATTTTTCTCACTCTGCCTTGCTTGCTGTCCCTCACTCTCCTTTCTCAGCTGAGAACTTTTGTAAAGGACTGAACTAAAACAACTCATCTACAGCTAATACAAAGCTGTATTTCATTACCTGATTGTGATTATACCTACTTTGTCAACTCCAAAATAAAGCTCCTTATGTGCTGGCTAAGTAAAAGCTGAGATGGACAAGAACAGAGCGCCTTGCTGATTTGACCTTAGATTATTTTCCAAATACTTAATCTATGAAATCTCAGCCTGGGATATTGCAGACCACACACTCCCTTCTGTGTTGGTGTCATTCTAATAACTTCTGTCCTCAAATTTGTCATTTTTATGACTCATACGAAAAAGCTGTTGAGAGATTAAAAATAGGCTCAGCAGTCTTTTTTGCTGCTCAGTTTATTTATTTTGACTAACGTATAATTATAACTAGAGCAGACTTACACCTTCTATAATTTGGGTAATCTCGATCAACTGAAGTACAGTACTCTAAGGAGTGATAAAAATGAAAGAGAAATGCTACAGGTGCACTTAAAATTCTAGTAAAAATACGAAGAATTGTTTTAAACATCAGGCTGTATACACCCAAGTACCAAGGTAAGGATGAATAAGCATCCTCAGCTTAGTTTAAACACAAGTCCCTAACCGTGCAATCATACTATTCAGCAATGAATGGTTTTTATGCATGTGTCCCATAGGTTGCCATAACACTCAATGCTGGCAGTAAGACACATTTTACTTGTATTTTATTGTGAAAATGGTGAGGCCTTTTAGTTTGACAGCTGAGGTTATTCTTTTTTTTAAAAAGCTTTTTTCTAAACCCACTGTCAGAACTGTATTGAAATGCTACGTGTATTACCTAACTGCAATTACTTCTCCAAAGAGGTCTGAAGGCTGCTTGCTTTCAGTAAAATCCAAGTAACATGGCACAGCTTTATTTCACTGGAAAATTTCACCTCCACATGTAGAAGACCTAAATGAAAGTTTTTTTCTCTTGGATTATTACTACAGGACAGATGCAGCCCTGTGTGCTACTCTATAGAGATCTTGACTAGTGGCTTGTAATGAAGTATGATCTGTTTCTTTCAGAGGCCTTGGGAATAAGCATGGGAGAGTGTATGTATACAGCCACTAAAATTAACAGCTTGAAAATTTTATTGCTCAAATGAAGAAGTTACTTCCTCATCGAAATGGAGATTAGTCATTACTGACCTGAAGTATCAGTATCTTCAGCTGCATGGCAGTAATGTTGTTACAGATGCAATAGGCTAAGTGAACAACTTGCATGAAGTTTATCGTTCATATTTCAAACTTCAGGAAATGTTTGTGCACTGGGGAAGGAAAAGTTTTCTGATTACCAGCTCATGTGGTGATATGCTGTCTCACTATAGATCTTCCATCTTTTAATTTTTATTAGTTTATAAACAAAATTAATGTGCTAAAATAAAGGCAGGCCTGATAAAGATTTTGTGGCTTATAGTTGGTTGGGGGACCTTAGAAAACCTTAGAAAATAATTGAGCAGAGGGGGAAGGCCTCATCTCACGATCCCTGTAAGAAAATTACCTTAGTGTGCAACCAAAGTATTAGATGTCACATTACAGATCCCCAAGAATTACTGCAGCGCTGGCTCTGTGTAACATGGCTCTGTTGTGCACCTGTACTCAAGCAGGTGGCTGGTGCTGCACCTTGGCCTCCCTGAGAGCCACAAAATGTTGTATTACAAGTGGAGAACGCATCATTCAAGAAAAAAAAAAAAACACCTTTCCATAGATAGAAAGTATTTATCAAATAGTAATTAAAACTATTCAAAGAACAAAAAGATCTTTAACATAGAAAACCCAACCTATTACAGACCTTGCATTAGTTAATGATGTTTGCTTTCTAATCTATACAGTGAAGCAGAGAGGGAGTTAACACTATAAACCTCATGATTTTGGGTTTTGTTAATCAAATGCTTGCATAGCAATAGAAATGTCAATTGCAACATTAAGCTGTTTAATTAAACTATTTATTTTGCTAATCTGCATTCTAGTACAAGGTTGTCTTTTTTTTAATCGTATTCTTCTGTACTAAGTCTTACGTTAATGTTTGGTTCCTAAAAGTATATTTGTCATTATCAAGTTTTCTAAATTAAAGCTGAAGCAAGCACTTCAAATTAAACATATTTTTTCCAATTGACTTATCTTTCTGTTCACATTTCCTTGCTTGCTTAATGCTCAGCAAAATCCAACAATTTCAACCTTTATACCTGAATTTCACTGAATTAACTGCTAAGTCTGTGTTCTGTCAGGTAAAAGAAGGATTTACTGCTTTACAGCACGAGCATAAGTCGTCTCACTTGACTGTAACTCCAGCAAGAAGTGAAAGTGCACTCAGAGATGAGGACAGCTGTTCTATTCGTAACTCCATTATACAAAACCAAATAGAAGAAATTGAGAAATTCCTGAATTTGGAGAGACTTCATTCAGCAAGAAAAAGAAAATATGAAGAAGGCCAGTGAAGATCAGTGGCAGGAGATAAAAAGCATGTCTTTTAGACACAGACAAATCACTTACGTAAATCAGATTAGTAGAGGTATTCCTATAGAATATGGTATATATATGCTGTGCTTTCATGTTTAATACAGTGTATAGACCTTTTTTATGTTCAAGAATGGATAAAATCCCTACTAACAATATTAGTTCTCTTTTTCTGCAATCAAATCCAAGTTATTTATTATGGGTTTCACCCAAAGTTAAAAGTTCACAAGTTAATGTTTTAATATCCATACAGTAAAATTAAACGATTACTTAAGAGTACCCTTCTCCTGCTCCTCAGAAGTTTTGGCTGAAATACTTCAATTTAGTTTCTCTGTCAGACTGCTCACTTAATTTTCAAAATACAATGGTTTCTATAAACGTTTACAACAACTTACAGCAGTTCCAAGTGGCAGAAGAACATGAAAATCTTCTGCTTACCTTTACTGCTGAATTATTTGAATTCATCTGTTGTAGTTGTTTTTGTATCAATATGGTCTCTTTCAACACTAAAGCATCAGTTATGATTTACAGAGATAAGGCAGCAGATCTTGCTTTATAAAGCTTCACTTCTAACTGGTTCACATTTTTCCTCCCTTACGGTAAAAGGGAAATTTTCTCTAAGTTTACAATTACTTGCACTACCCTTTCTCTGATTTCCCTCCCTTCCTCCCCACACCTCTTGCAAAGAAAGATCCTCATATTGTAAAGTTAAACAGGAACAAAAGAAGCATAACCAATACTGCTAGTTTGTTGTTGCTAATTGTGTAAGAAAATCAACAGAATATGTTTTCCCATGTTAGTTTTATTGCTTTTTTTGTGTGTTGCAATTTAGAAGATTTAGCTTATTTAAACCAATTGCATACATTTTGGAAACATTCACAAATTGTCCAAGTTTTGAATAAATTTCATCTATAGTGACATTACTACGTCAAAAAAAAAAATTTAGGTGTCTGAGAGACTGAGGAGACTGTTTTTCACTTGATTCAAATTTTGTTTCCAGGTGTTTAGAGTGTCGTACAATTGCTGCCATTGCTGCTTTCCAAAAGTCCGATGTGTGCTGTGACTAGAGAAGTAAAACAAAATTGGAAGATGATTACTAGATGTCATGGTCACCTAATAATTCTCTTATAACATTACTTTACTCTCACAAGTGAATAGGAAAATTTTTATTTTCTCTGTATAAAGGGCTGCACTTTACCAGTTAGAGAATTCTGTAGTCTTCCCAAATATTTAAAGCAACAACAGTCATTAGTATTCCCGTCACTATTAGGTCATTAAATGAAATGTGCTGGAAAATAGGACTCTTTCATTAAATAAGCTAATCACATTCAGTGTGAGCTTTAATAAAATTATGATAAATAGCAACTATTTAACTACCAGCAACTGATAGGAACAATACCTTGCTTCTAGTTAAAATATTCTACAAATGTAAGTGAAATAATTAGAACACACTAAGTTCTGCAAAATGCTCTGAAGAATTAAGTCTTACCTGACAACTACTTTCCTCTGTGTCTGATCTATTTTGCAGTATACCATCTTTGTCTTTACAGCTGCAAAAAAGCAATGCTGTTTTGAGCAATATGTTCAAGATATTGCAAAGGCATTAAACTGCATAAAACCTGTTCAAAATTAGATCAATACAAACATAAAACCACAGTAGTTCACTTAATATTGTTTTGCTATTGGTTTTAACGGTGTAGTAGGCAGAAAAGCAAAACGATGTAACAAGGTGAAGGTCATGCATGAATCCTATTGTTTGGTGCCAATCTATTAAAGCAATATCCTGTACAGTTTTTATGAACTTCTCTCCCCTACAAACACATCCTGTTTTAATGACAGCAAACAAAACCAGATGTCAAATTAAACCTGCAAACAATTTATTAGATCTATAAAGAATTACATGAAATACAGTTCCCATCACTAAAAAGAAAAACACTGTTTAAAAGACAAGTTATGCATGTCTTTAAGCACGAGGTTTTGCAGATATACCTTGTAACAAACACAGAAATTAAAAATAAGTGTTTTTCTGAATATTTAACATTAGCTTAGAAGACTATAAAAGCTATGGTTCATTAGCATTGTATAACATATGGTACTACAGTTCTTACCGTCAATAACAAACGCTTCTACATCATCAGCTCCAATCTGAAGTTCCTGCTGCATTGTGTCAAATGATATTTCTTTATTCTCTACAGCCATTCCCATGAAAGTAAGCAGCCTCATTTTTGCCATATTGTGTTCGTGCAACAAGCCTGTGTAAGAGGGTTGATAGTTTATGGATTAATTATAATTCAGTAATTCATTAATTTGTCTTTCATGGGTTTTTTACTATATATGCTTCCAATAATTTAAAATTTATTTCACATCAAGAAAATATTCCACCTGTCCTTATCAACATTTTTGAGGTAAAACATTCACTTCCTTGTGTTTTGCTATAATAGCTAGTTTAGTTGTGAATTCATCAAGACTCAGTTGTTGTCAATAAAAGGTAATAAATATCTACAAAAGTGAGGCACAGAGACTTTTTTGAACAGTAAAAACATCACCTTAACAGAATTTTAGGTGGTGAGGGTGCAAACGAATTTTTCAGTTGCATCACCTGGAAGAACACCAATGCAGTAACAAATGAAAAATACAGGACTGGTAATGTCAAAACCTTCTTACAGCCTCACTGTTCATTCTCACAGAGTTGCTTGAAAATACACCTCTCTCAGTAATGGTTTAATATTTTTGTGCCAGAAAAATGTGTTTTGGCACCTAATTAATGGTTTATACCATGAATGCAAAAAAGCATCATGAGTCACACATATGCTTACAGCATCTAGAGTGGCAAAAAAGTGCTCCTCAGGAATAGAGGAACAGATATTAAAAGTTAGGTTAAATGTTTTATGTAATTGTATAAATGGCAACATGAGGAATTGAGCCAAGGGCTTGCCTATCTGAATTAGAGACCATTCCCCGCCCCCCCCCCAAAAAAAAGTCTAGGTCAACAAAGTTAAGACATTCAGATGAACCAAGGCATTTCTTAATCAACTTCTGTGAGGTACCAACTAAGATTAATTTTAAAGAAACTTCCACTGAATGTCAATCATTTTGTTTTGGAACGACATTATAAACATGCACATTGCTTCAGTAAATATTTAAGTTTGGAATTTATAACATACATACACTAATAGGAAAGCACATTAGTGCAGGACATCATGTTGTGTTAATTAGCTGTAATTACGATGCAGGTTCCCTATTGGCACTGATTCAACAAAAATGTGATCACCATAATTCATACGAATGAGGAGCACCAGCAACTATACCTAACTGGGTTTAATGGAACTCTACAAGCATCAAAAAATCAATTAGTGCACATTAACCCTAATTAACAAATGCAAATGAGATGCTGATTAACTTTCCGAAAAAGACTGCCGATAATACCAGATTAAATGTGGACATGTTAGGGCGATTCAGTTGACACAGATACTGCTACTGCTGGCCTAAGTTGTCAGCATTAATAAAACAACAAATTGTAACAAACTGATGCCACCTGTAGGAGCCGTCACTGCACGGCTTTCGCAGACCAGCTTCCATTGGTCCCCATCCAGGCAAGGTTAAAACTAAAGCTGATGCTGTACTCTGAAATCCTGTTATTAATATCCTTTATTTTAAAGCCCAATATCATGGCAAGTTGTTTAAAAAAAAAAAATATCTTTAAAGCATGGTTAAAAATCTGATTATTTTGGGGAACAGATAATTCCGAAGAATTTTTGAATGTTTCCTCTAATAATTGTATTGTTTTCTATACCAAACTGCTCTTGTTTTTCAAAGGCACAGCTGAAACACTCTGACCAAGTTCCTAGCATTCCAGTCTGAACTACCTCAGAATCACTACCTTGTCCACTGCTCAAAGACATTCAGAGTTTTCTGAGTACAGCACAAAGCAGGTGAGAAATCAAGATAATTGGAAGTAACACAGTTACAGTACTTCAAAACAGTTACATGGATAATTAAGGATTTTACTCAGATTATGTGAATTGTAGATATACTGAAAATGCACACACTGTATATTCACAGAGGTAAACACAGATACAGGGAGGTAAAGCAAAAGAAATTGTGACTATTGTATATTATATGATTAATATTACATATATGTGTAATTAATCTTCCACAAATTTATTCAAATGTTAGCGTAACAGCATTTTCAGCAAATACTTCTATGGACAAGTAACTAACAGATAAGCCATTTCAATACATAAAAGTAATTACAATGTAAAACCCACTTTCCCGTACGAAAGAAAAGCATAAGATGTCCACACAACTAATGTTCCAATACATAGGACAAAAGGTATGCTTATCCTATATACACAAACTACCAAAAACTTGCTGCTAATTTTATCCACGAAAAATCACATTGCTATTTCCATCATTTTAATACCCAAAGTACCAGCATTTTAAAGCTTTGAGGGTAATTATTCTCAGAATTATACCACACTCCATTAAACAAAATAACGCATGTGTTAAAAGGCTGCACTAAACTCTGTTTTAGCAAAACTATGCCTTTCCTCAAATGCATTCAGCCAGTGCTCAAGTGTCATTTCAAAATCAAAGTTATAAAAAAAAAAATAATCTGATTTTTATGGAAACATTTATTCATTACCAATATGTCAAAACCTTAATGCAGTAATAAAAAAATCTGCATCATTGAGCAATTTCTGCATTGTCACTGACCCCTGTCCTAAAAAGCTGGAATATAAAAAACGTAATTTTAATGCATGCAATAGCTTATGAACCAGTGCTCCTTTGAAACAGTCAATTACACATCAACGGGGGAGTGTCAAAGTGTTAATTACTACTCCTTTTTTCCACAGTGTGTAAATAAAGAGGGTGCTGACATTAACATTCCATCACATTGCTTCATGTGATGAAACAAATTAACTGGGACAGACTGTGGCTTGCTAGGTCTAATGCATCAGCACATGCAGACACACACACGCATGCACTATTTGCACGTTTTATCTTACTTTTCAGGAGAACTATTTGCTGTTATAAAGTTACTCATCATAAAAAAAATCGTAAGAGATTTATACAAGCTGCTGGCTTACTCAATAAAGTCACAATCTCTGGCTTAGCCTAGAGTATCACTGCATTAAAACTGCCCTCCCGAAAGGTTTAAAAGAAGTGGGGAAAAACACAGTTCTCTTCCCCACCCGTAAAACAACTTGTCCTAGTAGAACAAACCACAGTTAGATGGCCCATTTATGATCAAGCAGAGGTTTGATTCTACAAACTCGAATCCGTTCTTAAAAATTGCTGTTAAATTTCCTTGGCTTCGATATATGGGTTCAAACTGAAGCACTTTGCAGCTTCCATATTTTAAGCTACATAAATAGTCAGAAATGTAATGATCTGAAAACTTACCAAGGGAGTCAATGAAGTCTTTGTTGTTCTGATAAAACTTGACATAGGATGCTAGTTTAGCACTTACAAAAATCGTCAAAAGCTAGAAGAAGGAAAACAAAAATAAGAATAGTTTAAATATTATCTACATTTCCCTCCCTGCAGACTGGACAGAGGTATATAAGCGCCATTGGTATTGAACAGAAAATTAAGCCATTAAGAGCTAAAATTCTGTCTTCTGTCAGTAGCTGAGGGCAATCTGTGCTGAGCTTACTGCCTTTTCTCAGACTTGAAAGGCACTTCTCCTACAGAACTCATGTGAGGGCAGGATTTGTAACTTGAGTTTCTGAAACTTCTAAAGGGAAACATTTCACAAGTAACATTTTAATTTCTTAATTCTAAAAGCAGTAAAAGAAATAGTACATTGCAGCTCAATATTACTGACATAGATAACTATTCTAATGAATTTCAAAAGACATTAATAAAACAAAGCACTCTACAGATACCAAACCATCTTGCTGAAAACAAAGTTACTTACATCATGAATAAGTTCTCCTTCCAAAAATTTGACTGGTTTTAAGGCAAGAAGATGATCAAAGAGAAAGGTATTTGGATCCTTCAATGCTCGTACAATACATCTAATTAGAAAAGGAAAATGCTTATTTTTACAGCAATACACATTTTAATAAGTAGAACTCAATTTGTTGTTCCTTCCTTTCTAGGAAACACCCAAGGGTTTTCAACTATTCTTAAGTGTAACACATGTCACATTCCAATTTTAATCTTCATTTTACTGTGGAAAAACAAGGAACAGAAAGCATTAAGTAATTTGCCCAGTATCACAAATGAAATTTGCCAGGTGGGAAGACTACACATCACCCTACTGTTTCCATCTATGCATTTATTTCCAGCCCAGCCTTCATTCCTAGAGGTATTTTTACTGTCCTCCTAAAATTTCATAGAATTAAGTTGTTTAGGAAGATTAATTATACTTGAATATGTGACACAAAACAGAGAAAACCCCAATACCAAACACTGCAAGGCCTATGATTTATCAGTTGCAGCTCCAGACTATAAACAGACCTGAAGTGTTTCTAGAACTCTAGATGAAAGCTTTTGTCCAGCAGCACGTTAGAAGACGTAGTGCTACACTCGCTCTGATGGCCTAAACCCCCACCCTGCCACATAACGCACACCCAGAAGAACCTACGGTCTGCACAGACGCGGCAATGTGATAAACCCTAGGCAGGCACGCTCCTTCAGACGTAAAAGGCCTCAGATTGCTGTAGGGTAGTCACTGAAGTTTTCATTTACGCACAGACACTTTAATTTTCAAAATGAGTCATCCTGATTTTCCTGCATGCTCAAGTATAAACAACTCCCTTGAGAACTACTGGCTGTACGCACCCGGCAGGACTACATGACGTATTAAAAATCTAATTCCTAAGAAGATTCATGATAGGTAGAATGTCAAAATAAAAGCTTTTACTAATTTTGGCCAGTGGGGAAAATATACTGTTAAGAATCAATTTACTCTCCTCTTGTCCAACAAGTAAGTTAATTTCTGTGCAGTTCACATCCTTAGTACTTGCTGACAGAGAAGAGCGAGAATTTCTCTTCAATAGACAGTGCTATTTGAGAAGAACACTCAAAGTTAAAAGATCAGTAAGTAAACAAAGGATGCCAATTCAAGTTATGACTGCATAGTAGATGTAAACCAAGTCCTTACCCAAGGCTGATCTCTCTCTCAGCAGTGACCAGAAACACAGCTGTGCACTCACACAACAAAATAAACCTGCCTCTGCCCGGGAGCAACCAAACCTACCACAGACTGAGCACATCATAAACTCTGCATCAAGTCAGAAAAGAGGCTGTGGCAGGGCCCTTGCTGTCAGGATTCGATACGCTTACTATTAAGGTGATCAATGTAATTTAGGAATTGAGAAAAAGCTACTTTTAAGGAAACCGGGAAGCCAGTATTACCTGTGAGCATCAACTCTAGCCTGGGAAGCATTGTCCTCTGTGTAACTTCCCAGTAGTTCCACCATTACTTTTGCTGCAGTGTCACTATAGAAGAAAAATAAAGTTACCTCAGGATTGCTGAAAAAAACGAGACACTCAAATATTTAAATAATTCCATTATGATGTTATAGGTCAAATTAAATTACACTTGAAAAGATGTAGATGATCCATTTTAATTCTAGTGGAGAGAACAAATTAACTAGATGTATTCTTTCAGTTCTTGTTCTACAAAATGTTTATCTTCACCCTTCATTTCATTCTCTTAAATTGATAAATTACCTGCTGGTTATGGAAAAAGCTTTCTGAGTTAGGAACAGCTTTATATGGTTCACTAGAATGCTCCTCTTATGCACATCTGGATTTAATCATTGCAGAATAAGTAGCGCTGTAAAGTTTATTTCAAATGTAAAATGGCATATCTTAAAGAATATTTATGGTCAGGAAAATGACTGTATAAAAGTTGCCTTTAATTTTTTCACAGATGCTCTCTTCAAGTATTCAGAGTGAGAGCTGCTCATTTTACTGACTAAGTTAAGCAGCCAGCAATTAGATTTGCTTAGGCTGCTGTGAAGCAAGCAGCTTCCAACATTGCTTGGACAGACAGCTTTTAGAAAAACAATTCATTCTAAGAAAACTGACTAAACCCACAGCCTTGTCTCCCAGATTATTTTGTAAACAGCAGCTCATCAATGTTACTGCAAACCAGCTCTGAGACCCCTTACCGCATCATTTTAACAGATTTAATTTCCATGTACCAGTCCTTACCACTAGCGAGGCCAGCAATTGCTGATTTTTTTTACAAGATTTTCAGCAAAAAATATACACATTAAACATGTGGTGTGTATATACACAAAAAGGTGTTTCCTATTTCTCATAGAGTTCTTGTGAACCATTAAAAAGAAGGCTGTGAAAGTTCTTGTACATAGAGAATAGATTTTGCTGATGCCATCTTACTACCTCCTTTGAACAAGACAGGAGGTGGATGTAGATACGACCGAAACTCAATAGTGAGAGCACAACCAAAACTTGGTTACGAGAGCGTGAGCTTTGCAGAAGTCGCCCGTGCCCATACACACACTGGCAACGACTTTACTAACAGGTACTTTCTCAGCGGAGGGGAGGGAGGTTGGATACTACTCTCGAGAGTACCGTGAGTTACAGTGTAAAGCTAAGCTCTTCCTTCAAAGTAGCTCGATTCAGAGACGGCAAATTTCCCCATGTGGTCTAATAGGCCTACAAAATTTTCCTTAAAAGAAAAAAAACTGTGCAAGAATAAAGTTTCAATTTGCTTTAATTACTTAAATCAATGGCATAAATTGCTCAGGGAAGGAACAAGCCAGCACAACGCTCCCAGTATGTACTGTGCTGTGATACCGGTTTAACCCATATAGCAGCACAGATCTGAACGGTTTTTACAGTACAATGACACTATCTTTACACGGGTGTTTATTTTAAATCTGACAATATTACTATTTGACAACTTCTCTATAAGGTGAGGCTTTTGTGCTCCCAGAGAATTGACCAGATCTCATAGATGTGCAGTACAAATATTAAGACACGGTGGGAAACAAGCATTATCATAGTCAATCTTGATGCACACTGAATGAAGACAGTCTGTGTCCAAGGCAGGGGAATTTTCTCTAGGTCCCAGCCATTATTCCAGAACTGTGTTCAGGGATGTAAACTTGAATGAAACATTTGTTTTAAGACTCTCGCATTAAAGAGGTCAGCTTATGTTTTGTCACGGCAACTGATACTGGTGTGTAGAGGAACTAATAGCTCTGTACCAGTGAAATAAAATGAATTTGGACAGCTTCATATACGAAAGAACCAACTGCGTATGAATCAATGACAGACTGATTTTTGCACTGATGAAATCTTATCAACACTAGATGTTCTAGTGAAGACAAAGAACCAGTTTGATACGATACAGACATTCAACAAAGAGGCTCAGCTGGTGTGCTATTCAACCTGACAGTACAAGTCTCCTTATTTAATATAAGCTTTCAGTAGTTGTTCTTGTACACTTCAGAACTCTGCTTTGGGAACTTTTCCTCTTCTCTCCCTTCCCTGAGGAACAAAAATTGAAAACTATGCATTCAACTGATTTCAACCAGCATTTCCAATCCCCCCACTTGTTTTGGGCTTGTTTTTTTTTTGTGTGGAGGTTTTTTGTGTTTGGTTGTGTTTTTTTTTAAATTGGAGAAGGAGTGGAATCTTTCACTTGTATTTCTAGGAAACATCATAATGCTGTAAGACAATTACTCCCAAACTTTCTGTGCTAAATTCTTGTGAGCCTCAGCAAATATGGCAGGCCCTTTAATCTTATTCATTCTATTCAGTGCCAGATTACTACTGTAAATTACGATGTTTAAAGCAGTAATACAGACCACTATTTTACCAAAGCTCATTGCTAAATGTGTATCTCACCTAAGATGCAAATGTGAACATTTTTTCTAGCAAGACAGCTTGCAGAAGTACTCTTGGCTCCACATGCCAGTCTAGGTCCGTAACTTGACAAAAAGCCAGTGAGAATTGAAGAGTGATGGTAGATAAAAGGAAGGAAAAAAATACAGAGTATTCAGAGACTTGGTAAGATGTTGGAATCAAGTCCCTCTGCATTACATTATATTATATTAAATAGAATTAAAATGAAATTATTATTTTGCAGGTGCCTGAGCTTTTTGCTACAGGTATTAATAACCAGACTTGCCAGACCTGTTGGAATGTAAACTTGGGCAGGACTAATCCCACTCTGAGTCCTGCCAGGTCAATGGCACAGACCAGCTGTAAGCTGCAACAGGCTGGTGCCTGGCACGATATTCAGGGCCTCGCAGCAGAACTCAACTCTCTGGCTGCATGCAAGCCATGCATACCTGTAAAACTCCATCTATAACCGGAAAAGACAACAGATTGTGTTACTTTGCAGTTTCATACCAACACAGCTAAGAAAATGCTGAAGACTAAAGCAGCTGAGGCACAAAACTCTACTGCAGAACCTTTATGGCAAGGAGCGTAAGCAGCAGAGAAAGTAACTAATCTCTTGCAAAGTTCAACTACCAAATACAGATCTCAGAAACAAGACACTCCAACCATGTTTTCCAGCCACCACCACCAATTTTTCTTCAGTTGATCATGGGAAAGCTAAAAATCCCTCTTTGAAGAGTTCAAGATGATTTGATCATCAGAAAGCAGAAACTTCAACCAGAAGGTGACTGAAAAAGATTTGCTAAAACAAGCTTTCCCTTATCACTGCAGGAAAAGGAACACCACACAGAACATCTGCACGATCTAATTTCCATGAGCTACCAATCTGTTCACTACCAAGTTATCCATTGGAGAAATCTATTAGCTATGGAAACCCAGCTCTTCTACTGCACTAAGCAAAGTTAAAACATAAAATGAATCAAAAAAAAAAAGTAAACTCAATTGTTTTCAACAATGTATTCTCTTCCCTTGATTATAAATCAACACAGTAACTGAGGTATGATTTTTATTACTTATTTTTCAGTTCCCACTGCTCGATAGAGCAACATTCCTGAGTGCTATAAGCTGGAATGCTGCTGTGAGTTTCCCATACTATTGCAAATACTGCCCACTGATCCAGGAGAGTGAACCAGGTCAAAGGTGCTGGGGTCACCTCTTGTTTTCTTTTCTGGAGAGAAGTGTAAGTGCTCTGAAAAATTGCTCTATTCACTGCAAAGCTTGCTGCAACAGATGGTAAAGACACTGAGTGCAAGAGTTACACATTTCAGGGTTTGTCAAAGTTTTTAATGCCTAACTTAAAAATATCACCTACTATTAGTAAGCAAACACCATTTGGTAGCAAGGCTACTGGTAGCCCTAGAAACACAAATTAGAAGTTTAATACACGTATTTGGTAACGAGACTGGCTAGAAATAGTTATCCTTAAAGTATGGGAATTAAACTAGTTAAAGCCTCTCAATAAATCTATAGGATGAGAAGTGTTTAAGACAGTAGGAGCATTACAGTGTATCAGTGTAATATTTCTGAAACAAAGCACTAAGTCATGCATAAGATTTCTGATTAACATTTCTGAAATTATTTTGACCATCTGAAATCTGTCATAACAGTACTATCAGGACAAAAGCATTTTAACATTAGGAATAGGATTTCCCAATAATATTGTAGCTCACAGCATAACTAGTCCACAAGGATTAATCATCCCTAAATTGAGGTTAGTTAAAAATGCTCCTGCTATGCTGCCGCAGCATTTCCAGGCTACAATTTCACCAAGCCAGAATAAGCTAACTCTCCTGCCAGAAGAAACCTCCTCCTATGACAGGTCCACATTTGCCTTTTTTTTTTTTTTCACCTGGGAAAGTCACCTCCTCAGTCCAATCCACTGTACAGTTGCACAAACACCTACACCAGCACAAACACACCCAGGGACTGGTAGCTGGATGGGACAGGACAGGAACAGGGGGTACAGGACAGAATTGCTTCCTTCTGCAGCCCTACAAGCTTATGCAAATGCAGGAAATGCAACTGCAGTTCTGCTACCAGTGTAAGTCAGCAGTGTAGAGGTCCTGATGCTGCCTCACTAAGAAAATTAAAAAAAAAAAACAACAAAACAAACCAAAACCAGAAAACAGAATGAAAGGGAAGGGCGGGTGGAAGCAACACACACCACATCCACCCCACCCCCCCAAACTACAGCAGGGACAGTTTAGATAGGCTGAAACTGTTGTGGAACTACAGACTGAAACTACTTCTGGATAGCAGCCCATCTTTACAGCCCTGGCCAATGCAGTCAATACACAGTATCACATCTGTAAGATAAATTGACGACAGCTCTCAGTTAAGACTTACATTAATTTACAGGCACGATACACACAGGATTACTTTACATGCCAGAAGACACTGGTCTGCCAAGTTTGTTAGATCAAAGATGCTTCTTATGATCCAGGATAATAATTTAAAATGGCCAAGCAGGTATTCCGTGGACATTAATTTCCATGACTAGTGGAAAGCTCTGTCCTAAAGGTAATGTTTACATAAAAAGACTGATTCTGTTAACCGTGATTGATAAGCCTCCCAACATCATTAAAGAAGAGATAGCACTACCATGCACTAAAATGTCAAGAGTGCAATTAAATAATAAACTTGGCATAATGCTATAATGCTCAAAGATTAATATATAGACAAAGTAATAGTTTTAATTTGGGAGTCTGTGGTTTGCGGCTATTTCACTGCTAACTTTAATATTCTTGGAAACACTGGTTTAACATAAGACTTCTTATAAAAGGAAAAAAACAACAGGTATATTTGCATTGAATTATCAGTACAGATTAATTTTAAAAGTGTTGTGAGAAATACTTTCCCGATGGATCACTTACAATACACCAACTTAAAATACAGTTATCTAGTATCTATTACTTGTCTTTTATACCTTTTTTTGCAGTCTACTAGGACATCATACAGCAGTCTCAGCAGAGTATGCTTTTTCTCTGTGCCGAGATTCCAGTCAGAAATCCATTTTCGGACCTAGGTAGAATACAAGTGAAAAAGAAGCAATGGGGAAAAGACTAAAATAAAACTGAAAATATTCCTCATTTTCTCTCAAGCAGAAAAGGAATGAAAAGATCTTGCGCAGGCATTTCTCCTTTGGGTCCTCTGACTCTCAGGCTCCCCATGCAGAACCTGGAAGTTTTCCCGCGGGAAGCCAAAAGCCTGTGCTCTCCACGTTACTTCCTAAATAAGGATGAGCGATTTTAATACATGCTGATTCCAGAGTAAGGGACAAGAACTTGATGCCTCACTCCTGATTAAAGCTCCTCACTTTCATTACTATCAGAGGAATCAAACAGACAGACTGAACTACGTTCAGCATCAGAAATGTAAAATAAATGGCAGCTTTACATTCTGTATACAGACCTTCAAAAGATAAGAAATTCTGTATTCTGCACTTCTTATTTCACTAGGCTCTAGCAATTTATAACAGAGACTGACTGTATCAACTCTGACTAATAGTGAGATGCAACATCGTTAATGCAAAGGCCGTAACTTGAAGCACCACATTAATTACCTGATCTAGTTCAGTTGGAATGTACTGGATGGCACCACATGATGAGGCCACTTTAAGAAGGCTGCAGTACACCGTGTATCTCACAGGAGTGTTCTTATCCATACCATGGAAGAGATTGCTCAGTCTAAACCACAAACAATGAAAAACTGAGTTAAAAAGGTTTCAAAATACTTTACTGGAGTGCACATACATGTTTCTATTAAGATGTGTGTGTTAAGATGTGTTTCTATTAAGATGTGTGCACACAAAGCGCCTGGTGGCACCTCGCATCTGTGATGAATTGCAATGGCTTCCAGTTTTGTAAGTTTTCAGCAGATAAGCTGAAAACTCTATGCATTTTAGTTTTAATTTTGTAATAGCCATGTGAAGAAAGTTTATTGGTACTTCTATTTTATGATAGGGAAAAAGAAGGTAAAAAAAGAGCACTTCCTGCAACACACACATATCTTGACACCCCACATTTTGATTTAAAGACATGCAATTGCAAGATACCATTGCTTCACTTTCTTCTATACAATACTTACAGCTGCAATCTAAGAGATGGGCGCTCTCCTTCCCGAAATTTTACTAACTTCTCACACAGGCTTTCAATCAGTGCTTCTTGTTTGTCAGGTTCCAGGATAAGAAGCAAAGAGACTACACTGTTCATCACGCTCTCAACATCTGCACAAAACAAAACATGCAGCTGTTTAAAACCGCAAGCAGCAATCATCAGTAGCTATTTAGTGCTGGAGAGTTACTTCTGCTATGAATTATTATCTTGCATCGGCAACAACTGTAAAAGAAAGAAAATGCCAAGAGAAGCAATCTGGATATTCATCAGAATGTATGAGAGATTTGGCTCATGTGGTCTTTTACCAACACATCTCCATGTAAAGCAACTACCACTCTAAGGTCAAGACAGAATTTGGTATTTGATATCACACTTGCTCCGAATTCACCATTCACACATAAGAGAAGTCAGAGCAACTTCAGGTTTCGGTCTTAAAGAAACAGTGCCTTTCTCCTGCACATCCAGAAAGCTGCCCCATGGTTCTAAAGTGAGAATAATAACACTTAGTGCTCAAGTACAGTAAAACATTTCACCAGGAGCAAAAGCAAACCCAGACCACAAAGAAAATGCCCACAAGAACCTGTTCAAGAGCCTCCCCAGCTCCTGTTTTAAGCATGGTGTTCCATCCTTTGCAAACAGGACCAGACAGGTTTTGTGCTTTCTTTTCACAGCCTGCCCAAATATTATGCAAAGGAGAAGAACAAAATTCATTACATATGGAAAATACTATTTATTGCCCGAAATGACATCTGAACATCAAACAGCAGAGCAATATGTTTCTCCAGTATTTCATACTCATTTACCTACAGTAAAAGGCAACATAAAAAATAATCTTAAGGACTCCTTCTTAGATGAACCATGCATTCTTTCAAGCAACACACACACAATTCAGAGTAGCAATTGGTATTTTACATGTAGAAGTTCTAAATGGAATCTGTATATTGGTACAGAGCACAGCAGGCACAGAAAGATCATTTAAGGCTACTGCAGCATTATCAGTGCCATTAAAACATATTAGTGCAGTTTCTAAGGAGCCACAGTCCTAACTCAAAACGAGTTACTGACTACTGAAAATTCTTGTGTTTTCACAATATTAATCAATTCATGTTTTAGATCTTCTACTTACAGATGTCTAGTTTTGATTTTTGTTGTTACCTCATTTTTTGTTGTTCTGCAGCGTCACAGCCATTAATTGACAGTAAGCCTTATTTTTATCATACTTTTTTTTCCCCCCACCAGAAAAGCTATTTTATATACAACCCGCTGTGCCCTCATAACAAAAAAAGCCTAACTGGATTTCTGACTTCTTGAAAAGGTGCTGGCTGTTTGGAGAAGGGAGAGGTAGAGTACGTGCAAATTTAACATGGTGATGATGGAAATAAGCACTTCCAGTTTATAAAAATGCATGTGTTAACATGCAAGCCATGCAACACACCTCTAAATTCTGCCAACTATTACTGTTTGAAAGCATTGATGGCGATTATGTTTAGCAAAACCAACAAGACTTAAAGATGCAAACCTTTGTCATCCTCTTTCAGGCACACATCACAAACTTCTATAATCTGTGCCAAGTCCACATGAAGTCCACCTTCAGAGTTTTCTTCTGAGATTTCTGCTCCTTTGGATTTCAGGTAAGCTCGAAGTTCTGCAGCCTTATTAAAAAAAAAAAAAAAAAAAGACAACACACACAAAACAAAACAGTCACTTTGTGAACAGCAAAGTCAAAGTAATGAAATTTCTTACAGATTTATGTTCTGCAACCACTCCTCTGCCCCCGCTGCTCAATCACACTTCCTCTCACTTCTCCCTATCACCCTGCATCCTACAACACTCCCTCTCCTCCACTTTAACATACAACCCAAACATCGACTCAGACTAAGATGCTGCACGTGCTGTGGCTGGTTTGCCAGTAACTGAATAGATCACACAGCTGTTGAGCTTTGAACATGTCACTTCCAACCACTGGTAAGAGAATAGCAGGCCTAGTAAGTTTTTGTGATGAAGATGCTTTCTTCTTAGGAATGTTTATTATCTTTTACTCCCTTTGAAAACTTCAGAAAACAATAAAACCATTTAGTTGTGTCTTCACTAGAAAAGGGTATAAACAAAACTACTTTAGAGAAAACAGAACTTACAGCCTTCACAGAAGTTAAAGACAGTTCCCAAGATCACACTATGGTCTGCCTTACTTTATTAGGATTTAAAACTACACTAAGAAAACACCTTCCCCCAGCAACAGGTCTAAGCATTAACTCTACAACCCATTGTTTCAGCAGCAGAACCATAAGTCTTCAGAGACAATCTGTATGAGACCATACAACTTTTGGCACAGGGGACCTCTGACCGGTGTAATTTACATTGAGTTGGGTGTCAAATCATTACCACACCATAAGACATAGCAAAATGCTCTAGGACTCTTTGCTGTACTGAAGAAGCTTCAGACTAACTACTTGATGGGCATTTACTAGGCACTACAGCAAGTAAAAACTGGACTGAAGGCTAGTAGTTGTGTGTGCGTTTCTGGTAGATTTCCAACTGTGTATATACACACCACTCTAAAAAACACCGGGAACAACAAACCCTAAAATTCAAAGATGGAATCATGGAATTTTCAGAGTTGGAAGGGACCTCTAGAGATCATCTAGTCCAACTCCCCTGCTAAAGCAGGATTGCCCAGAGCACATTACCCAGGACTGCATCCAGGCGGGTTTTGAAAATCTCCAGAGAAGGGGACTCCACAACCTCCCTGGGCAGCCTGTGCCAGTGCTCTGCCACCCTAACCGTAAAGAATATTTTTGTTGTGTTTGACACAAAACAAAAAAGGAGCTCAAAGACAAACTTCACAGCTCCCACGCCTGTAATATCGGGAATGCTGCAGAACCAAGACCTAACTAATGCACTAGCCCGTATGAGAACTAGTTTTCCACTCCTAAAAAAAAGTTATGTTGAGGAAATGAAAACGAAGTATTAGGGCAGGCGAAGAACTTTAAAGAGGAAACTGCAAACGGTGACTTATCTTACGGTTTTCAGTTTCTTTAACCCGCCTGTTCAGTCTCCCTGGGAAATGTCACACACGACCTACCGGAGACCTACCCAGGCCTGACAGGGCCCCCGCTCCGCCTGCCCCACGCCGCCCTC